TGTTTTGGAGAAAATATGAGGCAGGCAAACAAAACACACCCTGCTTGAAATTGCCTATATTATTAGATGTTATATTAATAATACTTATGTTCTTAGTTAGGACTTCAATTATTACATTTCCACTTGTCTTAGACTGTGAATCTAACTGTAGATTAACCACGTACAATAATAAGAATTAGAAGAAGAAAAAATAAACATGACAAATAATTGGAGAAGATCACAAAGTATCAAGATATGAAAATCAAAGTTGAACAATAATGGCCTTAACTGGCTGTGGTCTCCCACTGAGGGCCATAACAAAAAAATCTTGTGCCAAGGCTTGAAATAGAATTCTAATTTCAGGACTTAAAATCACGTCTGATTTTATACTCCTGCTGCCTTTGCTGTTGCCATAGAATTACCAGTTTCATTGGGACTGCTAACTGTATAGCAGAACTTTGCAGTCTTCGCCTATTTCCTGAATATTTAGGCCAATTAACGCTGGAGAAAGCCAAATCAATAGTAAAAAAGAGAATCAGGGACACTGATCATCAAAATGACATTGCCCCTGAATACTATTGCCAAATAGAAGACAATCAAATGCCTTCTACTGCAGGGTATCTTACCTAAGCAACTACAGATGGGCATTTTCCAGAGCCCACTATGATGCCTCTACTCATGGGAAGATTTATTGGAACTCATCTGCAAAGAGTTTGCCCTTGTGGATGTAGGGAAATAGAAATTCTCATTCACGTTCTCATATGGTGTCCTTTCTATGATGCCTCAAGATTTGCTCTGATCACCTCAATCATTTTGAAATATGAGAGCCACACAGATAAATTTTATGTCTATTTTATTTTTTATTTTTAAGGAATGCTAACCTTACATACCAGGAGGACAAATATCTTCATCAAGTTACATAACTGTGCAAATCTATTAATTTGATATATTGCTTTATTGCCTACTGGTTTTTCTCTCCCTCCCTCCCTTCCTTACTTCTTTCCTTATTTGTTTGTTTGTTTCTTTGTTTGGCTGCCCATTTACCATAGAGTAACTCTGGGTGGCTTACAGTTACATCTAAGCTAACAGATAAAAAGTTAAAAGGAAACATTAAAATCAAAGATACATGGGGTAGAGTGGAGGAAAGGTGGGATATGTTATTAATCAACCACTTCCATTGCGCTGTTTCCCCACTGGGGTCCCGAGCCAACTGGCAAAGCGACATCTTTAAGGCCCTTAGAAAATGGTAGGAGGGTTGTAGCCAACCTCAAATGGGGGGGGGGCAAGATGTTCCAGAAGGGAGGAGCAACTGCAGAGAAATCCCTCCTCCTGGACCCCGCCAGCTGGAATAATCAAGCAGATGGGACCCGCAGCACACCTCCTCTGACAGCATGAGTGGTACAGTCCAATCCCAGTGGGGTGAGATGGTTCTTCAAGTAACTTGGACCATGCCATGAAGGGCTTTACAAGTGATCATCAACACCATGAATTGCACCTGGATGCAGACTTGTAACCAATGCAGCTCTCGGAGCGGTGTTACAAGGGTTAGTCTTGGGGCCCCCAAAACTACCCATGCTGCTGCACTCTGGACCAGTTGTAGCTTCCAAATAACAAATCGTTATTTCAAACTATTTCTGTTTTTATTGTACTCTTTTTAGTGCAAAAGCTGGTCAAAGGCCATAATAAAAATATTTTATTTTGATACTGATAAAATTATGATTTCCTAGGTTCTTGGGAAGAACTTGATGTTATAAAGGTCAACACAAGCTGAAGAACTGGCAGCCATAATTCCACATTTTTGGATAAATAATAAAATTATCCCAATGAGACACGAACATGAGGTGATTATGGGATTCATTTGCTCTGACAAATGTGAGAGTTATGCTAGATGTTCAATCATCCTGGACCAGTCTCTGCAAAGAAAACAGATGAGGACTGTCTCTCCAATAAACTATATGGTAAGACATAATTTACAGAAACCTATTTAGCATCCCTTGTTATATAAGCATTATTGCTCATATTCATACATCATCTTCAGACAGAATTGTTAATCATAATTTGTTGGCTAAGACATAGTTGTATGATTCATATACAATACTGACCCCTAGTGGATATGTGTGGATATTACAGTTTCTGAAAACAAACCATATTACACTTTAGTGTGAGTATGAATAGGAGCCCTTTGCACAACCCTCCCTCCCCAAAGTCCTTCCTTTGTTGAGGGAAGGGAACAGAATAATAAATATAAGTCATATAAATAAAAAACTCTTTTGAGATCATCTATAAATTTTAAAGTGTAAAGAGTTCCTGGGAGAAAAAATGTTTAAAAAATATTCTTCTAAATAAATCTTGCGTTGATCAGGTAATCTTTTAACTTACTTTCCGTCAAATGATCCATCAAATTAGAATAGCCTTATTCAGGTTGGTGCATTCAAAATGTTAGCAATGACAACTGGACATATTGACTAGAATTCCTAAGATTTGAAACAGACCATATCCAATGAGAAGCAAAGTGAGGAAAGCTGAGTTAAAACAATGTCCTGACTCAGTGTGAAATTATAGTCTCCGAAGTCTGCTAGAGTCCAAGCTTTCATGAGTATATTTGTGAAAGAGTCTGTGAGTTTGTGAAAGAGTCTTGGAGCGTTTAACAGAATTCAGCAAAACATGACTACATAAGTTATAATAACAGTTGAATTACTTTTCTTCAGCACACATTTTATTATACACACACACACACACACACACACATACACAAACACACATAGACTAGCCTATAACCAGAATTGCAGGATGATTTACAAGCACTCAGGCCAACTAAATCACCATAAAAAACCTACAAAAACACATTTCATATGAGCCATTAAAATTTCAGAAAATATTTGGAGATAGAAAAAAAATTGGAAACACTGGTGATACAAATTAATCTAAAGCATAGAGAAAGGAATAAAATAGGCAGAGATGAAAAGTATAAAGCAAGTAATGCAGTTTAAAATGCATGCAAAAGGGATTTAAATATAGCACTTTCCAACATAGCAGCATCCCATTTATTACTTTATACTTAAAACAGCTTTTAAAATGAAGTTAGTTGGGCATTAAATCAACTAACTGAATAGCAAGGAATACCAATAGATATCTCAAAGCACAACATTGGCTATTTCTGATCTAGACAGTGAATTTCATCCTAAAATACCTGAAATTGGCCAACAACTGTTCATCTGAATATCCTATATAGGAAAGAAAGAAGTGATTCCTACAATATCATGCATTAGTTATAGTCTTTATTCATTCAATCATTCATTCATTCATTCAGTTTGCATAACAACCCATGAATAAAATAGCGAAATTAGTAAAAAATATATATATACAATTATCGCTCTACGTTAAACAGGTAATTAAAATACCCACCAAGAAACAAAAAGCAAGCAAGTGTAAGTTATCAGTATACCCATTTGGCAAGCTATAAACCATAACCAGATCCCCAAATCCTTCGACACAACCATGTTTTTAGTGCAGTGTTTCCTAAAGTGTGAGATATGGAGGTATAGATAGAGGCCAGAGGAGGGTTAAAGAAATTTTAGTAACATGGTTATAATAAGTCCATGATTCCCAAGGTTTTGTATTGTTTTCATTATGTCTATTTTACTGTTTTGATTTTTAAAGATGGGTCCATTAAGATTGCACTAAAAGATTTAGTAACTTTTGCTTTAAAGACTTTCAAAAAACAAGCAGCACCAGTCTGGGGAAAAGGATGTTCCAAAGGGCATAGGCTGTGAGAGAAAAGGCCTGTCCAATACATGGGATCCATAGTACATCCTTTTTGCCAGACCTGATGAGATGGATAGATATAATCAGGGATATGCAGCCCTTCAAATTATCCAGACTTATGACATAAGGACCTTTGTAGGCTATTACTAGCATCCTCAATTGACCCTGAAAGCAAACTGGTAACCAACACAGCTCACAGGAGAGAGGTGTAATGTGTGGAGGAGCTGTAATTCAGGAGGAGAATACCTGCATTTTGCACGTGTTGAAGCTACAGATGCTCTTCAAGGATAGCTCATTTAGAATATGTGATTAACTGTGATGTTATTGTTTATACAAGTAGTCCTCGAATTTAGACCATTCATTCAGCAGCTGTTTGAAGTAAGAGTGGCACTGAGCAAATGAAACTTAGGCTCAGTCCCTGAAGTAACAGACATTGCATCACTTCCATGGTCACATGAGCAAAATTTTGGTGCTTGACAGCCTGTATTTTTTTTTTATTTTGTTGTTCTGATTTTAATGCCATGCTAGTTGCCTAAAGTATGGCTTCAGGGCCAAATCTGAGTTTCTAATGTGTTCCTATATGGCCCACAAGCAGGCAGTAGGTAGACAGAAGATGCCATTTTCACCCTATCCTGCTAAGTCTCTCTCTTTCTCCTCCTTAATGAATTAATCATTAAATATGAAGTAGCTGCAAGAGTTTTAATGTTTCTTCATTATAGGCTATAGTTGAATCTGATCAAATCAAATTCTGAATCAGTTTAAAATATGAATAGAATCTTACATATGAATTTTGAATTAAATCTTGTATGAATTTACACATCTCTGTACTATTAAAAAAAAGTAGCGCTCCACTGAATCTATTTTTTCAGGGATAAGAAGTTTTCTTTTCCAGTTTTAAGTAGAACAATATTTATTAAATGATTAAATACATGAAAAAGGTCGGTCATCACTAAAGATATTTATGTGAAGAAGTTCAGATCATCAAACCCATATCCCTTTTCTATATGTGAAATATACACAATAAATCTACAAATCTCAAATTACAAACAAGCAACAAATAGATATTCCACTTGGATATTTAATGTACATATATTAAAATTTAGGGACTGAAGTGAATTTTTTTTCTAAAAAATCTCAAATCACTAGACAATATATTTCTTGGTGGGGATGAATGGTGTCTACATTTTCACAATCAGAATGGCATTATTTCTCTGGGTGTTTCTCTAACCGTTCCAATAGAGCCTTTTGTACATTACCCGGTATTTCTTGGTGCTTATCTCTGAGATCTTTTATTGCACTTTTGGTCTGTAAAAAGAGTAAAGAATGGGAAAAAAAACTTTTATAATATCTTATTTTCTTCCTCTGGAAAATATGTAAACTACATTCATATTATACTTTTTAAAAGCCACTGTGAACAATGAAGTGCTGAACTGAACAATATCACATTTGTACCTGGATTTATACTTTAAATTATATTTGCCCTTATTTTTAAAAAAAGCATGATTCCACAAGCAATGAATATAAAGCCAGAGATAATTAAGTGTAAACATTATTAAACATAAAGTATTATATACTATGATATTTTGAATAGAAAGTTTAACAAGGTTCACTTATCTTTTCAGAGGTTTGGATGCCTGCGATCAAAAACTTTCTTTATCATGGACTCACAAATAATATCAATAACCACAAGTATTATAATAGAAGTTTCTGCAGTTCACTTAAATTACCTTTTCAGCTAATTCTTCAGCTGATATATTTGGATCATAAGGAATGGGATCTCCTATGTATGTGCAAAATTTCACAGGGAATCCACCATATATAGGAACAATTGGCCATCGTGTACGTTCATACAACCATTTGAATGGCCCTGTACGCAAATGAAAAATAAGTTCCAACAACAATAACATGGTTTGGGCTAAACAATATTCGAAGTGCCCTGATTGGAAAGAAACTAAATCCATGCAGTTATATCTTAATTATATAGAAATGCATGCCTGAGTCATTATGCAAAGCAAATGTCGAAGTCCTAATTCTATATAAAAGTAGCCATTTTATCTTGTTAATTTCCATCAGTATAAATATGCAACTAAAAATGCAACTAAATTATAGCTAATATAAAGCTGATTTGTTACACAACTATTGTACACCTGGAAAAAATTAAAGATAACACAACAAAAAGAATCACAGATAAAAAGAAAGAGAAGCAAAGACACAGGAAAACAAAATAATAAGATAAGCCAATTTGATTGAAGTCCAAGGCCAAAAAGAGATGGAGAAATAGATGGATATATGAAAACAAAAGAACATTTAGAACATTTTTAAATCTAAGATCAACAGTCAAAACACAATTAAATAGAAATCCAGTAGAAATCAGCATGATTTTCTTCCATAAAAAAATGCTTCAGCACAATGAGTAGACATGCAAGTTGAATTTTTCTTACATATTTTCCCGAGTGTTCTGTATCCTTCTCGTAGATTTTTTGTAAATATAGGAATGACAGGCTGAGAAAGATGGGAGAAAAGTAGCCAGAATTAAGGCAGCATTTCAATTGTAATTTATAGATCATGCATTAGCATTATACATTGAATAATTAGTACAATAAATATTATCTACATTCACATAGGAAATTATACCTTCTTCAAGGTTAGATACCTCACTTTTAAAACTGATTTCTAGTAAGACATATAATATCTAACTCATGAAAAAAAAAACCTAAATTTGAGGAATTAATTCAGCTACAACAATATTCAATGTATATGAATGGGCTCTTTCCACATTCATTTCTGGAAATTCCTAATATGATTATTCTAAGCTTTCACTTTAACTGTCTTCTAGTTTAGCATTCAATATAAATCTGAAATGCGGCAATTCATTAATACAGTTTATGAAAATAAGCCAATTCATAATTCAAGATTTGATATTGTCTTTTCAATAAACTAAAATTGCAGCTAACTATTTTTTAAAGATAAGGCTATCCTACTTTTTGTTGAAGTGGAACTGAAATCTGTTAATCTTATCACTAAGAGTTTTAGGATCATTAATGCAAGAATAAACTTATATATAAACTTACCTCATCAAAATTTAAATTTAAACACAGCCATCCTTTTGCTTAAAGTATGTGATGGCTATGAAAATTGAAAAAGTTTTTAAAATAATGCTGCAGCTATTTGATATGGACTTTCATTTTCACAAGATGAAAATTTGCCATATAAATTTTCTTAAATAAATAAATGAGATATTCATGTGGTAATAAATATATGCAATAGAATCACCATGCACTTTAACATTACAAGTCTGAAAACAGAATATTTCAGTTATTATAAAACATGAATTTTCCTAAAGACAATTTTTTGTAAATCTTATCGATTTTCAATGGGGAAAAAATTATCATCCTATGTGACTATTTTTCCATTTTTGTCTCCTGCCCAGGTGTGTTTTTGTCATTTGGACTTTTGTTTGTTTATTGTATTTGATTTTATTTGTTCCATTTTTATGGCTGCCCATCTCAGTCAATGAATCTGGTAGCTTACAGCTTATAAAATATATTACAACTAAAAATTTAAACAACATTTTAAAAAGATAAAAAGCATCCAGTTTAAGATACTTAAGAGCAAGGTGTTTAACCTGGTTAGCAATATAACCAGAAAACCAGGCCTTTAGCACATTCAGGACCTGAGGCTCAGGAACATAGCTAGATTTTTAAGGCCTTATGAAAGGCTAACAGGGTGGGGGCCATTCTGATCTCTGAAGAGATCAGTAAGGGCCATTGTTTGGCTGATGGGATCTACCTAGTTGGAGGGTAGAAACTCTTGAAAAAAGACAATTCTCAGGTACCCCAGTCCCAAGCTACGTAGGCTTTACAGGTAACTACAAGAACCCAGAATTGTACCCAGAAACATACTGATAACCAGTGCAGCTCACACAGGAGTGCTGTTACACATGTCATATATCTGGCACCATTTACTTCCTGCATAACCACATTCTGCGCCAGCTGGAGTTTGTGAAAGGTCTTCAAGGAAAGCCCCATGTAGAATGTGTTAAGGTAGTCTAACCTAGAGGTTACAAGGGTGTGTGAGTTGATGTGAGCAAGGCCTCTTGGTCCAGGTATGGCTGCAACTGGCACATCAGTCGGAAGTATGAAAAGGCTCTCCTACCCACTGCTGTTTGGGGCAGTGCAATCCCTTCCAGAACCAGAGATGGAAGAACCGTGACCCATGGGAGTTCAAATACCCACAGCCACTCCATCTTGCTAAGGTTGAGTCAAAGCTCATTTCACCATCCAGTCCCCAACAGCTTTCAGACACAGGGATAGGATATCCAGAGCATCAGTCAAGAGGCCTGGGGTAGAGATATAAAGCTGGGTGTCACGTGCATACTGATGATGTCTCACCACAAACCAATGAATCACCTCACCCAGCAGTCTCATGTAAAGATTGAACAGAGGGACAGAGAGAACAGAACCCTGATATACGCCACAAAGTAGGGGATGTGGGCTAGATCTCTCTCCCTCCATCAACTGACCATGGAAGGAGGAGAACCAGCACAATACAGTGCCACCCATTCCTGAGGCCAGCCCACAAGTATACCATGATCAATGGTATCAAGTGCCACTGAGACATCAAGAAAAGCCAGGATGGATGCATTACTTCTATCCACTCCCAGGAGAGGTCATCTATGACCATGATCAATGCCATCTCAGGTCCTGGACTGAACCACTACTGAAAGGGGCCTAGATAATCTGTTTATTTCAGAGTTTTCTGAAGTTGCCATGCAACCACTCTGTCTACCACTTTCCCTAGAAAGTGAAAGTTGGACATCACACAGAAACTGTCCAGGCTATTGGGTCAATCAATGGTTCTTTGAGGAGGGGGCGCACCAGAGCCTTTTTAAGAGCTGGTAGCACCACTCCCTCTCTCAAGGAGAACTTAATTATTGCCCAAACCCACTTAACACATCCCCTCCTGCAAGGCCTTAATCTTCTTCAGATTCAACAGGCTCAAACTCTTTATAGATTACCTTGCAAGACGTTGTCACCATCACATCTATAGATTTTCCTTTAAGGCTGGAGTCCAACATAGAGTGAAAATGACTGATTTGCATTCCATATGCAGTATATTCTTCATAGTGACCTTTTAGTAGACTTCGGCCCTTTTCTCTCCAAAAGAGACCAAGCACCCAGAATAGGACTGCTGGGTAACTATGAGCAGACGCAGTAAGAGCAGAGAAGTACTTATGTTTCGCCACCCATGTCACCATGTAGTAGTCCTTAATAATGGTTCTAGCTCATGTCTGCTTGTCTTCGCTCCTGTATTTTATCAGCAACATTCTAGATATCTCTTAGTCCCCTTAAGTTCTCTTTATTCCATCGTGTACTTCAGGAAGACTATCTCTAAAGAAATCCATATGGCTCTCCACCATAATGATGTTTTATACAACTCTAAAAACTTGGCTGTTTTCCTAGACCTTGGAACAGTTGTGCCTGCTAACCCAGTCCAGGTTGTTTTTGTTTCATTTAGTTTCTATTCTCTTTTGGAGCTCCATCATCTGTTTCTGCATATTTAATGTTCTTTTTAAAGTATAGGTTGCCCAGAATCACAACTATCCAGAAGACAAAAATTTTCATCCCACAATTCATCCAAGTTACCCATAGGTTTTTTTGGGGGGGGGGGAGGAGGGGGTTTGCAGGAAACATAGATCAATGACTGGAATGATGTAGATGATATGAAAGTGTGAATTAATGGTTGCTGGAATAGATTTCTGTCTAATCCAATGTCCATTGTAACATTCATTATGTTTTAAATGCATAGTAGAAAGCTACTCACCACTTTTGCATCTCTAGCCACATGAGCAAAGCCTGTGCGTCTACCCCATAAAAAATCATAATTTTCATCGCTAAAGAGTGCTTCTCGGGTTCCACCTGGTAAAACTCCCAATAAGTATCCCCTTTTCAGAATTTCAGTGCACTCTGTCCTTCCATTATGTGTAAGACCTTCCACATTATAAAACAGTTTTGTACCTGCACAAGGTACAAGCAAAAGCATATTTAGAATATATATAGTATTATACCTAGAAGAAATAATAATAATAATAATAATAATAATAATAATAATAATAATAATAATAATAATAATAATAATAATAATAATATAGAGACCCCCAGTGAGGCACTACCTTGACGTGGTTGTGGGGCTTGTGTACTCTGAGGAAGATGAGAGCTATGCCAGAGGTTCAACCATACTGGACAGGTCTCATCAGAGGAGTCAGACAAAGAGTGTCTATCCCATAAAAAATATGGTGAGACGTAAATTGCAGAATGCCATACCGGCTCGGACATCGCCCAGGTTAACAAGGTCCGCACTAGATATTGGAGTTCCTGGATATCTGGTGAAAAATGGGTTACAGGACTCAGGACTGTTGGCTGAGCAACCAGGGCCAGCAGCTGCAGAACTACTGGAAGAAAAGGTGTTTACCCGTCGCAGATACACAGTGATGGAAAACAAAGAAATAATGATCTGTTACTACAGATCAAGTCCAACAAGAAGAGGATATCTAAAACGAATGCACCAGTTCTGGAAAGAACAACATCCAGAATCAGAAATAACAGAACAGAGACTAGCAGATCAACGCCGATTTATAACACGAAATAAAGTATTCACAGAAACAGAATTGGACGAACTGCAAAGGTTTACCCAGGGCAAAGAAATCAAAGCCTTACCAGAAGTAATTCAGAATGTAGAGGCAAACCAGGGGGAGTTGGCAGTGAAGAATCCAGCAGAGATATACAACTGTTCTCATTTGGAAACCAGGCACCTCTTCCTCAGGAAGAACAAAACCCTCTAACTAAAGAAATAAAAGAATTGAAACAAAGAATAACTGAGCATCTAGAACAGCACAAAAACAACAGAATAAGGCTACCTGCATTGAAGCTTGTTCCAAAGAAACAGCTAGCACAAGCATTAAAAGATGCAAATATTGCAATATCAAGTATAAGCACCAATTCATGCAAGAAACAAACCAACTAATGTACAGCACAGCTGCAGTTATAACAGAATACCTGGGATGCAAAATCAACAAAGAAGAAAAACAAACAAAACAGTGCACCAGAAAAATGGAAGGTTAGACTAGAAAATAAGATCAGCAAGTTAAGATCACATGCAAGCAAGCTAGAACAGATGAAAGAAAAGAAGCTGAAGAACAAGAAGACCAAAGAATACCTAATCAAGAAATACCACTTAGAAACAAGGAAGATCAAGGAAGCACTGGAAATAATAAAGCAACAAATAACAGCTATAGCCAGGAAAATCAGTAGATATGAAGCTCGAATTGCAAACTATAGGCAGAACCTCCAATTTCAATCCAATCAGAAACGTTTCTACCAATCCATCAATGGAGAAACTGCAAGGAATCAGTCCAGTACCTGACAAGGAAGAAACAGTGCAGTTCTGGAAGCAGATATGGGATAACCCAAAGAAATACAACAAGGATGCGGCTTGGTTAAAAGAGGTGGATGCAAATAAAACAGAAGTTGAAATGAAAGAACTAGTAATAACAACAAAAATGGTAGAAAAAAGAGCAAAGAAAATCAAAAATTGGTCAGCACAGGTGAAGATGAACTGCATGGGTTTTGGTTGAAACATCTAACTGTTATACACCCACTCATTGCCAAGCAGTTCAACAATATACTACAAGGAGGAGAAATTGAAAAGTGGCTAACAACTGGGAAAACCTACCTAATAATGAAAAATCCAGCAAAAGGGGCAACACCAGGTAACTACAGGCCAATTACCTGCTTACCAACAACTTTCAAATTACTAACTGGTGTGGTAGCTGATGCAGTACAACAGCATCTAGTTGAAAACAATCTCTTCCCACCTGAGCAGAAAGGAAACCGCCCCAATAGCAGAGGAACAAAAGATCAACTCCTAATAGACAAAATGATCTTGGAAAACTGCAAGAGAAGGAAGACCAACCTGAATGTGGCATGGATTGACTACAAAAAGGCATTTGACTCTCTGCCACATGACTGGATAATCAAGTGCCTAGAAATAACAGGAGTCAGTAGAAACATCAGAAAATTTGTGCAAAGATCGATGGCACAATGGAAGACACAGTTGCAGATCAATGGTGAGAGGCTGGGAGAGGTTAATATCAAGAGAGGAATATTTCAAGGAGATTCATTATCACCATTACTATTTGTTATTGCACTGTTTCCTCTGTCAACAATACTGAATAACTCAGGACATGGCTATCAAACATCAAAAACATCTGCCAGACTATCCACCTCCTTTATATGGATGATCTGAAGCTGTATGGAAAAACATCATCTGAAATAGAATCGCTGCTCAACACTGTCCGTATATATAGCCAAGATATTGTAATGGAGTTTGGCTTGGACAAATGTGCCACACTTACTATCAAACAAGGAAAAATAGTGAAAACTGAAGGAATCAAGATGCCCCACGAAAATAACATTAAGAGTCTGGATGAGGAAGAGTACTACAAATACTTGGGTATCCTTCAAGCTGACATCAAGCACACTGAAGTCAAGAAAAAGATTAGAGGTGAATACATCAAGAGAGTGAAGAAGATCTTAAAGTCCAAACTCAATGGAGGAAATACCATAAAGGCAATCAACACCTGGGCAATCCCAGTCATTAGGTACACAGCTGGAATAGTGGACTGGACTCAAGCAGAACTAAAAGCAATGGATAGGCAGACCAGAAAAATAATGACAATGAATCATGCCCTTCATCCACGCAGTGACATTGATAGACTTTATCTACCAAGGCAAATAGGTGGGCGTGGAATGCTACAAGTACATCAGATGGTTGAAGAAGAAAAAATGGCTTTGGAAGAATATCTGAAGAACAATGATGAAGATGCACTGAAATTAGTATATCAGGAAGGCTTACTGACTACTGGAGAGACCAAACTGGCCTACAAGAAAGACCAAATGAAGAACAGAATAGAGGCATGGGAAGACAAAGCACTACATGGCCAATACATGAAAAAAATAGCTGGGAAAGCAGATAACAATAAAACCTGGCAATGGCTAAGAGCAGGAAAATTGAAGAAAGAGACCGAGGGACTAATTCTGGCTGCACAAGACCAAGCCTTAAGGACAAATGCATACAAAGTCAAAATTGAGAAGACAGCAACAGACAGTAAGTGCCGCCTATGCAAAGAAGCTGAAGAAACAGTGGACCACGTGGTAAGCTGTTGCAAGAAGATTGCACAGACTGATTACAAGCAGCGGCATGACAAAGTAGCAACAATGGTGCCTTGGAAGATCTGCAAAAAATATCATTTGCCTGTAAGCAAAAACTGGTGGGATCATAAAATAGAGAAAGTCATAGAAAATGATAAAATTAAATGCTCTGGGACTTCAGAATTCAAACAGACAAGCACCTGCAACATAACACCCCAGACTTAACAATTGTCGATAAGAAAGACAAAAAAGTCTGGATAGTGGACGTGGCAGTGCCTGGAGACAGCAGAATAGAAGAGAAAGAACTGGAGAAGATAACAAAATACAAAGACCTACAAATAGAAATAGAAAGACTGTGGCAAAAGCAAGCAAGGGTAGTACCAATAGTCATAGGCTCCTTGGGTGCAATCCCAAAACAACTGGAGCACCACTTGAACACCATTGGCATTGACAAATTCGATATTAGTCAATTGCAAAAGGCGGCCTTATTAGGAACTGCTTCCATCCTGCGACGATATCTGTAATACCATCAAACATCCACATCTGCCAATCCCAGGTCCTGGGTAAGGACTCGATAGGTAGACAAAATGCCAAACCCAGTCTGAACATCTGGTTGACTGTGCGATGATCAATAATAATAATAATAGTAAAAATAAAGTTGGAAGTGATCTTGAAGGTCATCTAGTCCAACCCCCTGCTCAGGCAGGAAACCCTATACCATTTCAGACAAATGGCTGTCCAGTGTCTTCTTAAAGGCTTCCAGTGTTGGAGCATTCACTGCTTCTGGAGGCAGGTTGTTCCACTGGTTAATTGTTCTAATTGTCAGGAAGTTTCTCCTTAGTTCTAGGTTGCTTCTCTCCTTGACTAGTTTCCATCTGTTGCTTCTTGTCCTGCCTTCAGGCGCTTTGGAGAATAGCTTGACTCCCTCTTCTTTGTGGCAACCCCTGAGATATTGGAACACTGCTATCATGTCTGCCCTCATCCTTCTCTTCATACCCAATTCTAGCAGCTGTTCCTTATATGCTTTAGCCTCCAGTCCCCTAATCATCTTTGTTGTTCTTCTCTGTACTCTTTCTAGAGTCTCAACATCTTTTTTAAAATTGTGGGGACCAAAACTGGATGCAGTATTCCAAGTGTGGCCTTACCAAGGCATTGTAAAGTGGTATTAATACTTCACGTGATCTTGATTCTATCCCTCTGTTAATGCAGCCTAGTACTGAGTTGGCTTTTTTGGCAGCTGCAGCAACACTGCTAGCTCATATTTAAGTGATTGTCCACTAGGATTCCAAGATCCCTGTCACAGTTACTACTGTTGAGCAAGTACCACCTATACTATACCTGTGCATTTGGTTTTTCTTGCCTAAATGTAGAACCTTACTTTTTTCACCATTGAATTTCATTTTTTTAGATAGCGCCCATTGTTAAGTCTGTCCAGATCTTCTACACACTTAAATAAAAGTATTCCTCCCTTGAGTTCACTTTTGTATACCATATATAAAATTAAATCCTGTGACTCAATGATTGAGAGATCATACAAAGAAACAAGTTTATAAGTTTTTAACATAATTATTAAGGAACACAGCTGCCTTGTTGTGCTTCTGGATGAATACACAAATGCTTCATACAATATGGATATAATTTAATTTTTATCTGAAATATTACTAAATATAGTTTTCTACCAAAAACCCAAACTTCAGAAAAAAGGGCACATATATTCCTTAAATCCTGGAAAAGGAAGTAGTATTAAGAGACTAAATCTGGCTTGCCCCTGTAGACAGGTTGGAAAGACTCTGTTACTATAGCCCATCTCCTATCTCAGTGGTGGTGAACTTATAGCAGGTGTGCCAGAGGGGCACTCAGAGCCCTCTCTGTGGGCACGCGTGCTGTCGCCCCAGCCCCGCCCATGTGAAATAGCACAGGCAAGGACATGGCAGCCGGGCAGTGGGGACAAGACTCCACCCTTATGCCCTGTCACATGGAGATGATGCTGCATGGCACGGATGGAGGGCATGGTCGCCATGGCGCTGCTGGATCACCTGGGCGATCTGCTTCAGCTGGCCATGGAGGCAGTGGGTGGCCCTGTAGGCAGGTGGGGGGTAGGGGCAGGGTGGAGCGGACAGAGTGGGGGCAGAGAGGGCGGGAGCAGTTTTTGGGCACTCGGTTTCTAAGAGGTTCGCCATCACTGTCCTATCTTAATGAAGTTAAAAAGTTATAGTCTTCCTGTGGAGTTGGTTTCATAGTTTGGTCCATTTCATAAGGCTGACAGATCCAAACATAATTTACAAGTAAATTGTGTGATTAAAATGATGGGACCTTATATTTTAAATGTATACTCAGCAATACATTTAATAGAACATAATGTCTTTTATATTCAGACAGGATACAAATATTAAACAGGTTTGGCAGAGCTTATATTACCTTGCTGACTGTAAAATGTATGAAACTGGAATAGTACTGCTACACTAAATGGGAAAAGGCAGTGACAGTTTGCACAGACTAATGTCATTCGTTATACCTTTGTTGTGGATGGCATGGTGAGAGCCAATCTGGTCGAGAGGTTAAGGCACCAGGCTAGAAACCAGGAGATCATAGTTCTTAACCATAAAAGCCAGCTGGTAACTTTGAGCCAGTCACTGTCTCTCAGTCCAGCCCACCTCACAAGGCTGTTGTTATGGGGAAAATAGGAGGAAGATGTGTTGGATTTATTCACTGCCTTGAGTTATTTGTAAAAATAATAAAGATGCGATACTAATAAATAAATTTACCCATTACTGTCACACAACCGTCACTTTCCCCCTTACTGAATTGAGATTTTATACAGTAACTCACAGAAGGTAAAAATCACCGTCAATATTTTTGGGGGGACAGAGCAGGTTATTCATTTCTAGTAAAGACTAGCTCTTCAGTCAAAGTGTTGATACAAAGTGATACAAAAATCATACAAATTTGCAAAAGATTTTTTTCCCCAATAGATGAGGAGTAAAAAAAATCTGGACAAAATCAACAGGGAAAAACCCTTTTATTTTTAGGAAGCATTTTGTTAGATAATATTTGAATGAGCAAAACAGTATAAGAATAAAATTGTACATGTTTTGAAGATTTAATCATTTAAAACAAAGATTTATTATTATTATTATTATTATTATTATTATATAAGCAAAGAGAAACAGAATAGTTTCAATAGTTTGCTTGGACATTTTTCATTCTCAAATGACCAAGAAACATTGTTTTATCTAAGTTACCTTAGATAAGATCAGTGCTTTTTTATCATAGAACACACTGGAACAGAGTTCTGGCATCTTTTTTCAATGGATTTGTGCATGGTAACATTAATAGTATTAACTTACCTTGAACAAAATCCTAGTCTTTTAGATATGTTAAAAATTAAAAGGTTTTTTTTTTCAACTATAAAGGTAAAGCTTGTAGGGTAGGCCAGGCGGGTTGTATGACGTGTGTGAGTTCCAGCACCTTTTTTTTTTTTTTTTTACAAAAAAAGCACTGGATAAGATGCTAGTAATAGTGGAACAGACCTAAGCTTGGCTCAGGTAACAAAGATTGTATTTTTCAGTAACAATCAAAATATCAAAAGATACAAGATTTGCTTAATAATTCAAGAAACCAGATAAGCTTGAATTTTAGAGAAACTATGTAATTTTTTTTAAATAATTTGTAATTATGTCTGTGTTAAAGGTTTGCAATGCAGTGTTTGTGCACAGATAATATATTTTACCTGGTATTTTGGAAAAATGGTAATCAACCACTGTGTGGCAAAATCTGCCCGTTCTTAAATATAATCTAGATACAAAGTAGAAATAGTCTAGCGGAAAGGCTCCATGATAACATACGATAAGCCCTGGTCCTTCTGGTATTTTATCCATCCCATGTATCTCATAACCTGTTTAAAGTATAAAATATAGGAGTTTCAGTATTGCTTTAATACAATCAAAAATTTAATAAGCATTGATTAGCTCTATTTTTTATTTTTTGCAAATTTCTATTCCAGCCATTCGAATTATTCTGGGAAATATATATTTTTGAATATCAGTTCATAACACAGAGTCATGTAGATTTGGGTGTCGATAATTATTGTTAATAAATAATTAAGTAGCACATTTCAGATTCCCATAGAAATCAACCAAACATTAAAATAAAGCAACAGCAAAACATAATACACAATAGCTACCCCATGGTCATTTGGTTATGTGCCAAATGCTCATTTCAAAAGAAGTGTTTATAAGTTAGAACAACATAAGCAAATATTCCCATATTTGGAATAGCAGCAACAGTATGAAAGGGGAAAAATGACTTTGAATTAAGTTGGTGCCAATCCACAAAGTAGTTTGTTATTACTTATTAGCGTCTCCTTAAGTCAAATGCATTGTTTCTGGATCTGCAAAATTAACTGTGAGCACAGGAAAAGATGCACCTTCTCTGAGGAAACTCCAACTGTTATGCATGCCTCTTCCATATCTTTTGATATGAAGCAATGCAGTCTCTTGAACTCTTTTAGAAATATATACACTTGTATATAGCCTTTAGTAAATCATTACCTGAGTTCACTTTTTTTCAGCCAAAGACAGCATTGGCCTTTAAAACACATGCCAAGGATCTGGACAATAAAGAGGTCTTACCCAAAACAAAACCTAAATTTGATATTATCTACACATCTTAGAAAGATAAGAGTTTCAGTTGTTTCTATGCAGCACTCTCCACTAAGAATAAGAAAAGTACTGATCAGTTTTAGTACATAGTGGTATGAATCAACCAAAACAATTTTACCCAAGCGTCTTCATGCTATTCTAACAAGATAGGGTTTCTAATCTATTTTTTTTTTTTGCAAGCCAACATCTTATTGCCTGCATTCTTCCAATAAGTTACATGCAGTGCAATTTTTATTATTTCTTAATACTTCCTTTTGCTTCTGCAAAATAACATTTATCACCAAGAAGATTAGTTAGATAGTCTACATTAAATCCCCACACATTAAACAATGCAACTTGATGACATTTATGGAGGGTTGTGAAGATCACATAAGTGCTGCATATTCTCCTCCTGTGCCATTTAAGGAATACTATAAACCACTGTGGTATTGTCAACAAATCCACATCAACGTGCAGATCAAGGAAGAGATTAAACTTACCATGCCACACTGTACCATACATGTCCCAAAGGTGAGCCACAGCTCTCCGTCCATTATCCCATGACTGACTGAGATAATCTTCCTTTAAAGTAACCTTTCTCTTGTAAATATGCAAGAGAAAATTAGAAAGATAAATAAAACCAAGAATTATTACAACAGGGGAAAAAAGAAGTAGGAACAGTACTGACATCCAGAAAAAGTATGCTGAGTAGTGGTATGCTGAGTAGTCTGTGAAACTGTTTATGATATTATTTGGAGAAATATTGATACTGTTCAATAGTTCCATGACCCAGGTCAGATTGCCTTGCCCAATAGAAAATGAATTCATATTAGTTCTCTTCTGTTTAAAACTAAAAAAGCAATGCACTGGAAAAACAGCTTCTTAACATTGGCCCTGGATGCAGACAATTGTTAAGTAGCTATCAATGTTGCAATAGGGATCAATCTATTTCAATATTCTAAAGATTGTCCACATTCAACAATTTAGTCAAGAGAGACAACTAACTGCAAAAAAAGGTATATTTAACTCAGAAGCAGGTCATGCTGTGTGCCTTTCAGATGTATTGGTTATAAACTCCCATAATCCTCAACCAGGATGCCCTTTCATTCTAGGCAGAAACTCGTTCAAGGCAATTTTGACAGATAAAATCATAGGCATACAACATAAATAAAACCTGCAAGACTCCACAGATTGAAAGTTTCTGCCAGGAACTGGAAACAGAGCAATGAAAGACTTGAGAGGAAGAGACGGAAGGGGGCTTCCTTAAAAGCTGCAATTATGAAGTCTGTCAGCCCTTTCCGAAGCCCTTTTTTCCTGATGAAACTAATTCATCGGATCTCAAAGAGGCCAAGCGCCAGTGGGGGAGCGTTCCCTGGGACTATGCACTTATTAAGAGCTGCTTCTCCATCCCCAGCGAGAGGCGTCATTTATCCACTGGTTCGGACCGTTTCGGCTCTTCAACCCTCGGGCTCTCCCTGCTACCAGCAGAGCTTCTCCCTCGCCGTTAAAGATGCCGGCCGAACAACCTTTGGGAACCGCGCCCTCGCTCGGGATCACTTGAATCTCGGCGCTCCATTCAAGGACTCTTAAGCGCAGCATCAGGGCGGTCCTGACAGCATTCCGGGCGCAAATGAATCTGGGTGACAGGAATGGCCCCGGCCCGGCTCGACCCAAAGGTGTTCGATGGAAAAGCAAGCGGGGAAATCTCGCAGAAACCTGCAACACCAAGAAAGCCGCAATGCAGTATGAAGTTGCGCATCGTGTAGATGCAAAAGGAGGAGGAGACCTTCGGCACCGTCTTTCTTTTCAGGACTACGAAACGCACCCGAAACTGTGGAGAAGGATTTGGCTTTTTCTTGGCTTTTTTCTGGGCTGGACCATTTCAGCTCTGAGGCGCTGCAGATACACGTCTTGAAATTCAGAAATATAATCAAAAGAGTCGTCATTCTGTTTTGCTTTGTTTTAATTTAAAAAGATTATCTGTAGAGATATGGAGATTTTCAGCGGGAAAGCAGACAAAAATAAAACTCCTATATACAATGTGTTGTGGTACGTTCCATCTGATGTCTGAACCCCTCGCGTGAAAAATCTCCTCGCGTGGTCAAAGGATTTAAATCGTCTTAATTTGGAAGCGATTTGCTAAGGTTGAGAAACACTAAGTTATAAGATGTTTCAACTCCAAAATGGGCTTTTTAAGTAATGTGTGAATGGTGAAATGTTCCATGATGCATTACAGACCGCTTAATACAGAACATTTGTATCTTTTGGCATGCACTTAAAAATAGCTTGGGTTGTGCTACTAAATCCTGCATATTTCATACAAGAACTGACACAGAAGTAGCCCAGCAGTATGCTTATTTAATCCATCCTGTCTGATATCTATGTAATTGAATAACACACTTATTAGTTCCTGTGTCTAATGGGCTAGTGAAAGATAATGAAGTGGTAATGGATAATGGATTTTACTCCTTTTGCTTCCCCTCCTCCTTCCCTCCTTCTTTCCTCCCTAAGTCTCTCTCCACAGTAAATAAAATAGGGGAGTTATGTATACATACAGAACATTAAATAGTGTCCTAATTGTAGCAGGACACTTTAAAATTAATACAGGCCAAAGAACTTTTATTGATTTCTTGGAGAATATATTTTACAAGTAAAAGAATTGTAAGTATTTATTTCAAATACTTATACACTGTGCATCATGGAATGCAGTCCCAGCTCTGTTCAAAATGTAAACTGCATTGAATACAAAAATACCCTCGGATTAAAAACACATCAAATACATAACTAAACAAGGTTATAACACAATAATCTTGGCTAGTTCTAACAGGTGACTCAATTAGTTCTGAAATCTAATTAGTCCATGAATCAGAAACTCCCTCAGAGTGAATTTTGGGGATAGAGAAGAATCATGAGAATACCATAAACAGCCAAGAAAACAAAACAAAATAAAAAATGGACCATTACACAAGTCAATCCATAGTCTTTCTCAAGCAAAAACTAAGGAAGAGAATGACCAACAGTAAAGCTGACAAATTTGATTGCCGTGACAATGAATGCCTCCATTGAAAAACCTGAAGGGTCAGACTGGGGACAACTCTCTATCTCAAGCATATCAAACTGCCGGCCTGTGCCAGATGCCTGTGCTAGATGCGTCACTCTGAAACCTAGGCCATCCCATTGCCGGCAATGGGAAAAAAGTCACGTAATGTCGCAAGTTTGACATGCCTGCTCTATCTGATTACTAGGTGTTGATGCTGACTTGATGACACATAATGAAAACAGTGGTTTCCTACCTTCAGGAAGGACAGCAGCAAGGCCGGCATCACTAAGAACCTCTTAGCTATTAGTGGGAGAGAATGGTGGGGGGGGGGAATTAGCAGAGATGGAAGCATTTTGTCTTGGGCTGCTGTTGGGAAGGAAGGGAGGGAGGGAGGGAAGACCAAGATTCCTGAACTTAGGCTCAAATCTTAAAGTTGACTAGGAAGGCAAAGCTCCATGCTTTCCATTAACTGGAAAAAAGCACAGGGAAACTTGTTTTGTCTGTTGACAAAATGCATTTATGCGATCATTATCCTGCTTTCCATTAACAGTAACTTGAAACAGAGACTTCCCATGGGAAATGGAAAATTCTCAAATCAAAGCCAGAGACACTGGTAAATAGTACATATGAAGGTTTTCCAAGCAAGAGATTGATTATCGTAAAAGACCACCATGATTCCTATACAGGTAGTTCTCGATTTAGATCAGTTCATTTAGTGACCATTCAAAGTTACAATGGCATTGAAAAAAATGATTTATGATCATTTTTCACACGATTATTGCAGCATCCCCATGGCCACATGATCAAAATTCAGCCACTTGGCAAACTGACTCATTTATGACAGTTGCAGTGTCCTGGGGTCATGTGATCACCTTTTGCAACTTTTGACAGCTAATGTCAATGGAGAAGCCATATTCACTTAACTGTGTTACTAACTGAACAATTGCTAGGATTCACTTACTAACTGTGGCAAGAAAGTTGTAAACTTTCCACTTAGCCACTTAACAACAGTGGCTCAGTCGAGGACGATAAAGCAATGTTTCTCCAACTTGGCAAGTTTAAGCTGGGTGGACTTCATCTCCCAGAATTCTCCAGCCCACTAAGTTTGAGTAACACTGTTCCAAAGTATTGATATCTCTCTCTTTCTTCCAGGGGCTGTGGTAGGCCACTCTCTACAGACATCCGCTCAAATGCTACTTTTTCCATTGTTTCTATGCGAAATCGTCTTCTATAGGGCGGTCACCGTCACGATTACACCGAAAGCTGTAATTCACGCTCACAACTCAGCCAAAAAAAAAAAAAAATTGCCTTGCTCGCAACTTGCTTGCAGGCCCCTCCCCTTCCGGACTCCAAGAGGGTAACTGGCGCAGAGATCCGCTTCCGTTGTAAGGTCGATCCCATGCTTGCTTGGTCGGGAAGATCGAAATTATTGCCTCTCTGCAGGAGAACAGCAGGTAGAGCAGCGGCGGCCGCAGATCGCTATGCTGCGCGAGGGCGAAAGGAATCTGATGGTGGCAGAGCTGCTAATGGTGCTGAACAGAGGAGAGGGCAGCAACGGAGACATCTTCTGTTTGTGCACCCGGGCGTTCGTCGAGTGAGTCGGCGCCAGTTGGTCGATTCGTGGCTCTTCTCGATCACCCAGATCTGTGTTTCTCAACTTCCGGATCTTTTAGATATATGAACTTCAACTTCCAGAATTCTCCAGCCAGCTTGCTTGTCCATACATCTTAAAGATGCTGAGGCTGAAAAACACTGGTTTGCATGATTATAGCAGGAGGGGGTGCGGGGGGCGAGACTGGATTTCGGATTTGAGTTGAGCCTCTTAGTCTTTTGCAGGTAAAAGAAAAAATCCTGTGCCAATTCAAAGGCATACGAGATGATCAGGTCACCTCTTGGCGCTTAGGAAGTTAGACATAATATCACCCTCGCGTAGCTCTCAGTGGAAATTAAGCCCGGAGGCGAGCAGTGTACGCTCGCGCGGGGGTTGATTGTTGCCTGACAAGCTTTTTGGAGTGGAGCAAAAGTGAGAGATGGGGCATTTTTCTTCATTTTTTGTAAAGATGCATTTTGTAGGGGAAAGTTGCTGTGCCCCTTTAACCAGGGCTTCTTGATACAACACAGTCTAACCAAGTGTGTTTGTATAATAACATGACCCCAAAGTAAACAAACCACATTACCTATTAATTAAAGAAAGCCACACTGTTTTAATATGTTATATGACTTATGGAAATGTTATTAGAATAAACTATGGAACTACAACTTATGTTAGTGTACTATTATAAGCATAGAATGGTGCTTTGTAAATAGTCTGGAATATGTCTTCTAATCTGCAGATAGGAATTAGCTTTTATTAACAATAGTCTTACCTGCTTCGGCTGCTGCATAGGTTTTTATAACCAAACTGAAAAATACTAGTCTTCCCTTTTAAAACTCTTCATTGCTTCAATTCAAGGCTATCTGAAGGATTACTTATCTCAGCACAAGTCTGCCAGTATTTAGAGATTTCATCCAGATACCCTCACTATACAAAAAGAGATCTTTTTCAGGAGTGGATCTCTGCTTTTGGAATGATCTTTTTATCACCAAATTAGTGGATGCATTGTTAGCATAAATAGAACACTTGATTATGTCTTTCTAGCTATTGAAGGAATCCAAGTGATAAGACATTGCTTATTTTGGAATGTGAGGGAGATCCTTTTTTCTGCTTAACAATAGTATTCATTCTTTTGTAAAATTAGACAGCTGAGAGCTTGTTTTCTATACCTGTTCCCGTTTAAATTAGATTCAGTATGCTCTCTTTTGGCTGGATTGAAATTTTGTTACTGATATAATAATAATAAAGTTGGAAGAGACCTTGGAGGTCATCGAGTCCAACTCCCTGCTCAGGCAGGCAGGAAATCCTACACCATTTCGGATAAATGGCTGTCCAGTCTCTTCTTAAAAACTTCCAGTGTTGGAGCATTCACCGCTTCTGGAAGCAGGTTGTTCCACTGGTTAATTGTTCTAACTGTTGGGAAGTTTCTCCTTAGTTCTAGGTTGCTTCTCTCCTTAATTAGTTTCCATCCATTGCTTCTTGTCCTGCCCTCAGGTGCTTTGGAGAATAGCCTGACTCCTCCTTCTTTGTGGCAGCCCCTGAGATATTGGAACACTGCTATCATGTCACCCCTCGTCCTTCTCTTCGTTAAACTAGACATACCCAATTCCAGCAACCTTTCCTCATATGTTTTAGCCTCCACTCCCCTAATAATCTTTGTTGCTCTTCTCTGTACTCTTTCTAGAGTCTCAGCATCTTTTTTTACATTGTGGTGACCAAATCTGGATGCAGTATTCCAAGTGTGGCCTTACCAAGGCATTGTAAAGTGGTATTAATAGTTCACATGATCTTGATTCTATCCCTCTGTTAATGCAGCCCAGCACTGAGTTGGCTTTTTTGGCAGCTGCAGCACACTGCTGGCTCATATTTAAGTGATTGTCCACTAGGACTCCGAGATCCCTTTCACAGTTACTACTATTGAGCAAGGCACCCCCTATACTATACTGTACATTTGGTTTGTCTTGCCTAAATGTAGAACCTTACTTTTTTCACCATTGAATTTCATTTTGTTAGATAGCGCCCAGTGTTCAAGTCTGTCCAGGTCCTCCTGTATCTTAAGCCTGTCTTCTGGAGTGTTGGCTATTCCTGCTAGCTTGGTGTCATCCGCAAATTTGATGAGTTCGCCATTTATCCCCTCGTCTAAATCATTGATGAAGATGTTGAAGAGCACTGGGCCTAGAACAGAGTCCTGGGGCACCCCACTACACACTTCCCTCCATGTAGATGCAGTTCCATTGAGGACCACATGTTGAGTTCGGCCGGTCAGCCAGCTACGAATCCATCTGGTGGTGATGTTGTCTAACCCACTTTTTTCTATCTTATCGAGTAGTAGGTTGTGATCTACTTTATATGTCAAATTAAGTTTGAAAGCAAATTAAGCACATGAAATACATACTGAAAAAGCCCCTCTTGTTACCCATTTGTGTTGCTTCTTGATGCTTTACTTCCATATCTCATTGATGTTATTGATTTTTTTCCAGAGATCGAAAATTATACAAACTAGGCTTAAAAGGCTTTTACGTTAAAGATGCTGAAGACAGCATAGGTGAGTTTATTATTGAAAGTTTCTTGTTAATTTTGGCTTTTTGCAACTACAGTTATAGACAGTATGAGAATTAATATCTTCGGGTATGTTTAATTGACTAATACATTTAAAGCTTTTATAAAAAGGCATTACCATAGCTGGGCTGCAAATACCTGGCCAACCATTAGATTGCATCAGATAGTTGGGTTTTCTCATTTTACTGTCAGATATTTTCCTATTTTATGAATTCTGTGTGAAATTAAATTAGATTCCATTAAATTTTCATCTGAGCCATAATTCATACAAAAACACCAAA